GCTCTTCCTCTGCTTGCATGAGATTAGGTGTAGAGAAGGATTACCCCCACAGTATTTGCATATCAAAAGAATATCCATAACACCTGTAAAGGATCAAGCCGCTAAGACTTGAAATAGTTGGCAGTGGGAGGGATAGGCTGGGGAAGGACATGAAGCATAATAATTCCTCTGAACATTTGTGGTAGCACTTTGAGGTGTATACCTGTTTCTGTTGAATAGGGTACACCACAGGGGTGACCAAAATGCGGTCCACGGGCCACATGTGGCCTGCCAGGCCATTCTATCTGGCCTGTGGGGGGCCCTAAAAAATGTAGAAAATTTATATTTATCGTGCAGCCCTCGATGGCTTGCCAAAACTCAGTAAGCGGCCCTCCACCCAAAATAATTGCCCGCCCCTGGTATACCATCATCTTAAATTCTTGGGAAATGGTAGGATGGCGCATGATGCAGCTCATGCTCGACCCCTGGAACATGCAACACGGTCTGTGAATCCCGTGTTCGTAGTAAGAACTTCGCTGGCTGCAGGTCCTCCAAGAGCTGCCTGCTGGAAGGGTTCTGGCAGCTTTGCATGAACTCCCTGCTGGGGGCAACTTTTGAGAATCACCGTACTAACTAAATTTCCTCATCCAAGTGCTAGACGACCTTCTTTTAACTGCTGCCTTTGCACCAGTTCATGACTAAGAACTTCCAGACAATCACAATCCCGCTCCTGTTGTCACTAGCTGGTCGCCAAAAGGCTTGAAAAATGTGCTGGAAAACCATTTTCAGGGAAGAGACCTGTGCATGGTTTCTTTTATCGTGGAAAAAACTGCTGCACATCAGCTTCCACATGGTTTTTGACAGAATGGCACCTTGATCCAGTGGCCAGGAGACCAAGACAATGGGAGATCTTATTCCACTGCAGCCTTCTCCACCTTCGCAGTCATTGAGACTCTGACATCTTTTTCCACCTGCTCCATCATTGAGGACTTTTGCCCCTATGGCTGGGCGCTGGGCAGGTTTAATATAATGGCAACCTGTATTTGCTCTGTCACAGCACCGTCAAAGGATATATGTGGCTTTTCAGGAGGGAAAGTATTGCCATCTGCTGTCCCCACCACATCCTGGTGTTGCTGCAGGTGCTTGGTCCACAACTGCTTATTCATTAGTGTTACCCTGGCCTATTTCGTGCCTAACCTTCCCCGTAGGTCATTCCACTATCTGCTACTTGTGGACACGCTGTGTAGCAGTATAGCTCTGCTGCCATAAACCTCTGTACATGGCCTTTTTGACCTTACTACAGCCTTGAACTCTGGCAGTTGAGAAGTGCTGTGGACGATGCATCTGAGGACCGGATACCCCCCAAAAGTCAGCAGCATTCTTTGCCTGCTCCGTGACGGTATGTGAGCGGTGGTTCTCAGTAATGGATTTATCACAGATCCCTTTGAGGTTAAGACGGGGATTAAGCAAGGCTGCGTCATCACTCTAACACTCTTCTTGATATTCCTTACTGCCGTGCTTCATGGAATTGTAGAAAATGAGGGTTGGAAGGGACCTCAAGGAGGGCACATCTAGTCCAACCCCCTGCTCAAAGCAGGACCATCCCCAACAGTATCTGACCACCAACAAGCTTCCAGTTAGAGTGGAGCTAAACTACCAAGTGGATCATAAGCTGTTTCATCTCAGCTGACTCTGAGCCCAAGCCAAGACTACCCTGGCCTTGGTCATTGAGCTTCAGTACACTGATGATGCTGTAGTGTGTGCTTACTCAGAAGCAGACCTTCAGGCAATCGTCAGCGTCTTTACCGACACATACATGAAAATGGAACTGACACTTAACACAGGTCCTCTATCAGCAAGCTCCTTATGAACACTCCCCAGCTCCGGTAATTCAGACTCACGGTGAGACTCTGAAGAACATTGAGTATTTCCTGTACTTCAGAAGCTATCTCTCGCAGAAGGCTGACATAGACAAAGAAATCCAACATCACCTTAGAACAATGGTCCAGGGGAATGGCAGGGTTAATTGGTTTCCAAAAGTCTGTTTGTGACCAAGTTTCTTCAAGGCAGACACGGTTCCTGAGGCCAAGGAATAAGTGGGCATAAACAGGCTGGGAAATATGAACAGTGTGCCCATAAGATAGGCTTGTCACATTGGTGCCAGGTCACAATGCCCAACTACCGAGCCCTTGAGATTTCTGGTTTTGGTGGGTGGGCCAAATTAGGAGGCTGGGGCATGCCCAAATTAAGATACCAGTAAATGACTAAATTAAGATGTGTGCATGTGATGGGTTTGGGGAACAAAGGAATATGCTGACAGACCAGAATGTGGACAATATGATGACCACAGGGAAACCAGTCAGTGGTACCAGGAGATGAAGAGTCATCAGAGGAGGGAAAGGATACAAAAGGAGGGATTTTAGAGCAGCCAAGGGTCCCTGAAGGGGGGGTCCTCAGGCCACCATGGACAGCGCACACTACCAGCCTGTCTCACCCAACCCATGGCCCTCGACCTCCAGGCTGCTGACATCTGACATTCAAGAAATAACCAAAGGTGAAGCTCTCATACTGCTCAGATGTACCTTCCCTCTGTGACAGCCCTTGGATGGGTAGATATAGAATTGGGGGGGAAGAGGGAGGGGTTATTTTGTTTGCCTTGCCTGCATTATTCTTATCTGCTATCACTGTATATCAATAACATTTGCCTATTATCGAATGGAAGAAGTAGTTGATCTGAGGGTTTGGGTCCACCAAGGTAAC